CCTCTTCCAGGGCCCTAATTGTTGCAGCAGCACCCCTTTAGCTATTCTTTTACTTTCATCTATGTAAAGGTAGAAGGGCTTAGTTACGTCTGGGAGCCCCAAAGCAGAGGCTGCTAGCAGTACCTTCTTTGCAATATGTACATTGGTTTTTGTTTAGGGGCAGCCTACCTCTGCGCTCCAGCTTGTCATCTCCTGAGGCGAGTTGCTGCAGCTGTCTCCTGCGTTCTCCTGGTTCTGCAGTGGCCGCTAAGAGGACCCGAGCGACGTCCCTGGTCTGCCTTTTTTCAGCTTTTATCTGCTTGCCTTCAGCTGTTTCTCTATTGTTATAAACTTTCTCTGCTAGCTCTACCAAATCTGAGTTCTTTTTCTCCTAACCTTTCGAGACTCTGCAACTTTTTCTTAATGTCCGGAACGTCCTGATTTATGAATGCCAATGCCACTGTTCCCAGATTTTCAGGTTTTTCAGGATCAATGGGAATGTATTGGCAAAAGGCATCCATTACGAGCTCTAGAAAAACGGCTGGAATTTCATCACGTCCCTGTCTTAAATCATAAACTTTAGCCAAATTAGTGGGCCATCTAGCAGCCACTCAGAGACCTGCCAATAGAGCCTGACGGTAGACCCAGAATATCTCCTTACCTTCTGCTGTGTTGTAGTCCCACTCGGGTCGGCTGAGGGGGAAGGCAAGGTCAATAGCTGTTTGAATTGTAGTCGGGATGCCTGTGGGGCCCGGAATCCATTTCCGAGCCTCCAGAATGATTCTTTCTCTTTCTTCAGTTGTGAACAGTACTTGTCGCAGCTGCTGGCACTCATCCCAGGTGGGCTGATGGGTAAAAAGAACAGTCTCAAGGTGGTTAGTCAGCTCTTTAGGATTGTGGGAGAAAGGAGCATTTTGAGATTTCCAGTTGTAGAGATCACTAGTGGCAAAGGGCCAATAATGATACAGCTGGTTTCCATTCGCCTCTACAGGCCCTGCAGCCCATAAAGGAAGGACTGTAGAGTCTGCTTCAGGTGGGGGGCCTCTTTGAAGGGCTCCTCCAGTATTTTGTGCGGGGCCAGTAGCCGATACTGATGGAGCCGGGGGCCTGGATGGCGGCTTGGATGCCGTTGATCCAGGCTCCGGCTGAGGCCCCGGCAGCCCAGGCCCCTGCTGAGGCCCCAGAAGCCCAGGCACCGGCTCAGGCCTCGGCTGAAGCCCCGACAGCCCAGGCCCCGGCTCAGGCCCCAGCAGCCTAGGCCCCAGCTGAGGCCCCGGCAGCTGGGGTGGTGGTGGGTAATGAGGAGGGAAGATAACGTTTTCCTCAGCCCCTCCCTGTAGGATAGGATAAAGAGGCGCAGAGGGCTTCAGATTCTTTTTCGACCAGCGTTTTTCTGTTGTAGTCGCCATGAGGGTCACCTTCTGTGGAGGAAGGAAAGATTTAAGCCAAGAAGGCAGGTTAGTAACTAAATCCTTCCAGACAGTGATGTAAGGGACCTGGTGAGGGTGTCCACCCTGTGGCTGGAAGACAACTTTCTCCACGGTGGTGATGGTTGGAAGGTCGAAAGTCCCTTCCAGCGGCCATCCTACCTCAAAGGCCGGCCATTTTGTGCTGCAGAAAGTGGTTAGTCTCTCTTTGCGAACCTCTACCGACAGATTATGGGCTCGCTCTCTAGCATCCTTAAAATGTCCAAGTACCATGTCTAGGGAGGGTGGAAGTAGTCTGTCCCATTATGTCCGTCAACAGTAAGTAAAGACAAAGACACAGACAGACAAATAACAAGCAAAACAGACAAGTCTTTCAGCCTTCCTCTATAAGCAAGGCTCGAAAGCTGAAACCGGTGAAGAGCGGTGTCTCGGAAAAACCTCAACCGCCTCTTCGTACAGAAGCCTGGTGTGAGGTTCTTTACTCTCACCCAAGCACTCAGATATAGGGCTCAGAACGTCTTCCGAGCCCCCGCAGTGGTGGCCCCCCAGCGTGTCCGCCTTAGCCACGTTTCACTGCTCCGAATTCAGAAAACAACATGAACAGTTCAGTACAGAACGAAAACACAGATAGACACACTCACCCGTCTGGCCAGCAGTTCATCCCTCCAGTTAGGGGTCCTTAGGGTCGTGGGGGGATCCCTGACGGGCCCCCAGATGTTGTGCCCCAAATCCAGTTTCCCCCCAAGTCACCAAGGAGCCGACACCGATGCAAGGACAAGAGGGAATTTATTTCAGATTTGAATCCGGGCCTCGCTCAAACCATGCTGATAGAGCAGGGAAAATGGCGCGGCCCCGATTCTGGGGTGTCCTGCCTATTTAAAGGGGAAAGCCCACGAAAACAGGGTGATACAGGATTGGCTGGTCCCAAGGAAGGATGTGAAAACAGGGTGATGCAGAATTGGCTGATGTTTGGGTGGGGGCTCTTTTCCCCCTTCCCCCACCGCTTTCAGTTTACTGCTCTAGAGGCTTATACATTTTAAAATGACGTATTGGTTACAAAATGGAGTCCCTCATTACCATTTTAGCTATTTTGAATATACAATTTAGTTACTTAACTATATTCATTCTGTTACTCAAATATAACTGTAATCTATCTCCAGGCATTTTTCATCATACTAATAAATGTGGCACCCTTTTTTATGCAGTAACTCCCCGTTCTTCCATTCCCCATCCTTCCATTCTGGTTCATTTTTGTTAGGTGCCATCTAGACCACTTGGACTCACAGAAGACTCTGGGAACATCAGAGTGGACTTTTGCCCAATCCTGCAACCTCCCCAGCATCTTGGCTGTGCTCCAAGCTGATTGGTACATTCACCATGGCAGACCCTCCCCATCGTCTCTGTCATGCTGCAAGTCCATTGGTGCATTCATCGTGGCAGACCCTCCCCATCGTCTTTGCCTGTGCTCCAAGCTGATCGGTGCATTCACCGTAGCTGACCCTCCCCATCCTCTCTGCTGTTCTCCAAGCCACATTGCATACACCATGGCAGGTCCTCTTGTTGAAGTGCCTCCTCCCTTTTAATGACTCTGTGCTTTTCCAAGTGTGTTGTTATTTTCCAGAGACTGGTCCCTCCTGGTAACGATTCATAAATTTTGATCTTTAAATGTTTGTTTATTCTAGATATTTCATAAAAATAATTTAATAAAATAATTTCCTAACATCTTCATATTTCATAAAATATGTCATAAAAATAATGTGCAATTTTTATTTTTGTGTCTGATTTATTTGATTTGACATAATGTTTTAAAGTTTCATCCGTTTTGAAGTATGAATCAGAATACCATTTCACTTTACAGTTGAGTAATAATGAGCTCTGGTGGCCTACTTGTAAGAAGCTGCACTGCAATCCCAAAGGCATATGGTTCAAATCCATGATCTGCTCTTCGGCAGAAAAATGGGCAGTCTCCTCTCATGCAAATTACTGGCTCTGAAAACCCACTGGAGCGTCAGCTGTGGGTTGGTTCTGAGTGATGGTACTTAACAACAATACCTTTGTAGCTCCTGGTGGTACAGGTGAAGATTGGTGTTTCAAACCCAAATAGGTTTCAAGCCTCAGAAACAGGCTTGGCTGTCTTCTTCCAAAAAATGACAGCTTTGAAAATCCTATACAATGCACTTCCAGTCAGCACATGTGGGCTCTCCATGAGCTGGAACCCCTCAGCGGCTGCCAATAACGCTATTCCGTTGTACAGATACACCCCACTTTGTTTACCCACACATCTGCTCATAGGTACTTGGTTGTTTCCCGCACAACATGCCTTTTTGCATCTTGTAAAAAGGCATAGATGGGACAGGACCAGGGGGTGAACTGTGAAAGAAAAAGGATGGTAGTTACCTTCTCCAGTTGACTCAGCTTTTCAATTTTGCTTTGCTCTCCTGCAGGTCAGTGTCCTAACCACACTGGAGAGGAGGTTCAACCTGCAGAGTGCTGATGTGGGCGTGATCGCCAGCAGCTTCGAGATCGGGAACCTGGCACTGATCCTGTTTGTGAGCTATTTCGGGGCCCGTGGCCACCGGCCGCGGCTCATCGGCTGTGGCGGCATCGTCATGGCCCTGGGTGCACTGCTGTCGGCACTGCCTGAATTCCTGACGCACCAGTACAAGTACGAAGCTGGCGAGATCCGATGGGGCGCAGAAGGCCGGGATGTGTGTGCGGTCAATGGCTCTGGGGGCGGCGAGGTCCCAGACCCAGACCTCATCTGCAGGAACCGGACTGCTACCAACATGATGTACTTGCTGCTCATTGGGGCCCAGGTGCTCCTGGGCATCGGTGCTACCCCAGTGCAGCCCCTGGGGGTCTCCTACATCGATGACCACGTGCGCAGGAAGGACTCATCTCTCTACATAGGTAGGCGCTTTCTCACTCATGGGCCTTGACATTTGTTTTTGTTCACTTGCCTGTACAACTGGGGGTTTCTTAAAAACAAAAAATGCTGATGTCTGTTACACCCCCAGAAAGTCTGGTGTGATGCTGGTTCCGGGTTGCAGATCGTAACAGGACAAGTTTGCAGTTTGAACTCACTCAGAGTTCCTGGGAAGAGAGGACTGATAGCCCGCTTCCCAGTGGGGAGGTTATAAACTCTGTGGAGAATAGTGTTATTCACCCTAAGTCAGGTTTGGTTCTTTTTGCTTTGGTCTGGGATTTAAATGAGGCATGCAGTTTGAAAAGGCTCCTCAGGTGTTTCTAATATGCAGCACAATTTCAACTTCACTTTGAATGAGAAGACATGGCCAGGAAGAGGTTTTTGCCTGTATTTTGCTCCGTGTATATGCACGCATTGGTGGTTGGTCAGCATTAATCAACGGTATGTACTTGAAATCCCAGCATCGGATGATCAGGACATTGTTCTGGGTATTGGCTTATTGAAGCTCTGTCTTCTTGGAGAAAGTCTTCTTCACATTTGGTATCATTGAAAGTTGATGGGTTCTAGTAGTTTCCTCTAGTCCCCTCTTTGCATGAAACTGGATATTTAAGAAAAAATAGGTATGTCTGTTTTTATTGCATTTGCAGTTATTTTGGGCTGTGATGGTTTCTGATATTTTTAGACTGGAAGATTGGAGGGTGCATGTAGGTTTGAGTTAAGAAGGATCCAGGAGCTGAGTTGCTAGTGCAGCAAGCAGCTTTGTTGGACTGTTCTTGTGGACACTGTTGGTTAGTCACTTACCTGGGGGCTGGGGTAAGGTTAGCATATGCACCTCCACCATTTACCAAGTATAATCCTCCCTCCCACGAACTGTTGAATTGTTTTGACACTTCCCCAGTCACTGAGTGCTAAACCTGAAATAAATTGCTTCTACCTGGAGAAGCTTTGTGCCAGACTCTTCCCCAAAGCGCTGTGCCTTGCTTGAGGTATGAAGTTAATTATAATATGAAGGTGTAGGTTAAAATAGAATTTTAAATGAAATTGACATACAGCTTTGTATCTGCCAGCCTGGCTGCCCAAGATTTTTGAAACAGGACTACTTGGGACAGTTGAACACTTCCTTGGCGATTTTCCTTTGTGACGTTCTGTTTAGCTCTGGAGAAAAATGTGTTTGTGGTGCAAATATGTCATGGCACTAATGTATATTCCAGCAGTGGCTGAGCAAGGCTGTCCACGGTGAGGTAAAGGGAACGCCCTGCATCTGGGGAATGGGGCACTGAAGAGCCTACTCATGACCTGTGTATAAGGTACAAAGTAAGAGAAGCCTGCCTGCTCAGGCTAACGATGACCTGCCCCTTTCCCTTCATTGTTCCTGGTTGCCGTCAAGTTCATTCCAACCTTTGATGACCTCAGGTGTGTCAGAGTAGAACTGTGCTCCGTGAGTTTATCAGTGGAGGTTAAAAACTGGAAAAATCACCAAGCCTTTCTTCAAGATATTTCTGTACAGTGTCAAACCACCAGCTACCCTTTGGATTAGCAGCCAAAACTTGTTAACCCTTTTACCAACCCAAACCAAACTCATTGCCATTGCGTTGACTTCCAGATTATGGTGATGCTAGGACCCCATAGTGGTTAAGCTTTTCCATCCTATGCATGAGGGCAGGTACAGTGCAGGGAGAATGGCTGGAGGCTTTGAAGAGGAATGTTTATATTTTTCTTGCATTTAAACTTTGAGCAAAACCTGCTCCCCATTAGTCCATTGCAGGCTACATGACTATAATATGGCCCAAAAAGGTGTCTTAAAAAAGGCCCAGCCTCGACTGTCCCTGACAGAGAGGGTTTCTGGGACCATCAGTAGCGTGAAGATACATCAGAACCCAGGGAGGAAATGAGGAATGACAAGCTGAGTTCATATTTCTGATGATGGAATAAACTAGAGCAGTTCCTTCTCAGAACTTTTCTGAAGTTATTCCAGTGCTGAATCACCTCTGCTTGGGGCTCTGCTCCGAGAACAGCCGCTCAGAACACCTTTCAGAAGAATGCTCTAATGAGCTGCACTATTGATATTTCTCCACCCCGCTTGGAGACTGGTTTAGTACAGGGCTTTAGCATAAAGACATTTGTTTCGTTTTGTGCATGAAGGCATGCGAGGTGGAAACCTTAGCAGGCAGGCTAACCTTCTGAGGTATGAAGGCCTTCACACACTCTGATACCTCATTTGTGGGGTTCACTGTGAGTTATTGTTAGAGGAGTTTTTGCCTCATTCTACATGAAGTCTTTCTCCCTTCTGTTTCTAGTCCAGCAGTGAGGGTTGGGGGATTTCCTGCCTGGCACATGGGCAATGGGCATCTTGACAGCCCTGGTGTCTGTGTACATTCCCAGATGTGACAACGAATAGCCATGGATGTGACCACACCCAGTGCTCACACCGGCGTCCTGGGTCCCTGTTTATTGGGAGGACAGAGAGAGGGCCTTCTGCACAAATTGAGCCCAGAGGTGATGATATGTTTCACACACAGTTTAAATTCCCAGGAGCAACACAACGGGGCCATTGTATACACAGAGTGTGAGCACATTGTTGCCCAGGTCAGCAGAAATATTCATAACCAGGATGAGACTCCAGCATACAACTCCTTTAACCGGAGGTTAGTTCTTGACAGCACTTCAGTGTGCTTCGGGAAGTATCTGGGGGCGCCTGCAGAGATTGTGAAGATGGCACAGGATCAGACGGGGTCTCGTTCTCTTGGGCGTTGGTTTGCTGTGCATCTAAGCTGACTTGACGACACCTAAAACCAACAGCAACAAACTGCACAAGAATGGCATGAGTTTATGCTTTCTTAGCTCCCTCAGGATCTTGGAAGAACAAACAGTTTTCATTCGGTGAGCAGTTGACGCCTGTGCAGTTTGCTGCCTCTGAAAATGCACTGGAGGGTTAGCTATGGGTTGGTTCTGACTTAACATCATATCACATCACATCACATTAATTTAAAGGATGGTCCTTTGAAGCTACAGTGCCATGGAAAAAGGGCCTGGCCAGCTACTTCTGTAAAGATTACAGTGACGAAAACGTGGTGGGACAGCTACATTGTGTTATTGAAGTAGCTGCTAAGAGTTGGGATCAGTGAAACAGAAATGTTTCCAGAAAGGAGGACGGTCTGGAAGGCTTGACATTTGAGGCTTGTCGTGAGACCTCTGGACAGCACGGACTGTGGCTGCAAAGGTGTGTTGAAATGACTAGAATACTATATTGGCCTGGTCTGGTATCTAAAATACACATTTTAGACTCTGTGTAGGAGTAGACTCTAAGTTGGAGATTGCAAGGATACAAAGCAGTGCATGTGTGAAACACAGGCTTGTTTGCACCTCTACTCTTTGCAGTGGGTATGGAAGGGAGGGGATGATTGTCATGCCACGCTTGGGCCACAGGGAAGAGACCTACCTGCCCCTGAGATGTCATCCATCACCTGATGAATGGGTCCAGTTCACATCTGTGCCTTGTCACAAGACCCCACTCGGCAGGGCCAGGAGCGAAGAAGCCTTCCTTCAGAGGAAGGCTGAGCTTCCTCACCTCGTTGTCTATTTGTATTGGCTTCTTGGGGTTCATCTGCTGCCAACTGCTGCATTCCTCGACGGGCCATTCACAAGGGGCTGCTCTGGCTGACACCATTCTGTGGCCGCTCCTTTTCAGTGTGGAAGGGAGCAGAGGGAGCTCATTAGCGGGGGACAGAGTGATGAATGGGGACTCAGCTCTGCTGGCAGGCTTTTCACGGTGGCACAGTGTGGAGCTAAGCATTACTGAGCGGCCACTGGGACCTGTGGGTGGCACGTGGCACGTGTCCTTCCTGAAGAGCATATGACCCCTTTGAGGGGAAGGAGTGCGCAGGGGTGTCCAGGAACTGAGCCTTTGGGGATCTGGCCATGTCTCTAGTTGAGTTTTCTTCGCTTTGTTTTGCCAACTTCTGAAAGAAGCAATTTGCATTCACTCTTTCTGAATAAATAGAACGATTGAATCAACTTACTATATTCTTTCGTGGGTTGCTATGTTGTTAACTTTTATTTTCTGAGATAGAGGAGGAGAAGAATGATGAAGGAGAGTGGTGCCGAGATTTTAAATAACTTTTTTCTAATATTTTTTCCAATTATTACATGCCTCACTGTCTGCAGTTTTGAAAGTGTCCAAATAAAATAAAGATTTATTTTATTGATTTAATTTTTTAAAGAAAATTTATGTTTTATACTGGTTTATTTACAAAGTTTATATACATTTTTTTACATTTTTTAATACATTTTTAATTGGGATTTTGACAAAAGTTTGCAGAAAAGTTAGATTTTCATTCATTCAGTATTGTACATTTTACCCTCTCTCCTCCCCCTCCCGCCTCCCCCAGTAAACTGTTTTTATTAAAAAAAATCATTCATTGTTATATAATTACCTTCCCCCCATCCTCTTTGCAGTGTAGCTCTTATTCTGGACTGTTGTCAGACATATAAAGCCTAATTATATATTCCTTTTAAACAGTTCTTTCTTTCTTTCATTTGTCCCAATGCAATGTTACTATCCTTATGTTATTCTCCTCCCAGCCCTTCATGTCAGACTTGCTTTATAACAGTGGTGCTATGCAGTATTTGTCCTCTTGTGCCTGAGATATTTCACTGAGCATAACATCCTCCAGGGTTACCGTTGTTGTGTAATGTTTTATGAGTTCACTCTTTTTTTTCCAGTGCTACATGATATTCCATTGTATGAATATGCCATAGCTTTTCTATCCATTTTTGTTGTTGTTGTTGATGATGGTATGTCATAATTGTTTTTATTTGCATCTTTCTCATAGAAAGGGATTTTGAACATTTTTTTCATGTGCTTGTTTGCCATCTGAATGTCTTCTGTGGAGAGGTGTCTCTTCATATTCTGTGCCCATGAGAAAAGGTACTCTTGACAGGGTGTTTATAATGCTTAGCTTCTCTCTGTGTGGGCATGTTTTTC